AGCAGTAGTAGTAGTAGTAGTAGTAGTAGTAGTAGTAGTAGTAGTAGTAGTAGTAGTAGTAGTAGTAGTAGTTACCATAATAGGAATGGGTCTTATATGATTAAAGTAGTTCAAATCTTTTCTCTTCACATCATTTATTACAGCAGTAGTAATAGTAGTCATAGTAGTGGTAGTCATAGTAGTAGTAACAGTTGCAGCAGCAGCAGTAGTTGTAGTGATAGCAGTAATAGTAGTAGCAGTAGCAGTAATAGTAGTAGTAGTAGGAGTAGTTGTAGCAGAAGTACAGTAGCAGTACAAAACTAGTAGTAGCAGTAGTAGAAGTAGAAGCAGCAGCAGTATCAGTAGTAGAAGTAGTAGAAGTAGTAGTAGTAGTAGTAGTAGTAGTAGTAGTTAGCAATAGTAATAGTAGTAGGAGTAGTTGTAGCAGAAGTACAGTAGCAGTATAAATTTCTAGTAGCAGTGGTAGAAGTAGAAGCAGCAGCAGTAGCAGTAGAAGTAGTAGTAGTAGTAGTAGTAGTAGTAGTAGTAATAGTAGTAGTAGTAAGTAGTAGTAGTAGTAGTAGTAGTAGTAGTAGTAGTAGTAGTAACCATAATAGGAGTGGGTCTTATATGATTAAAGTAGTTCAAATCCCTTCTCTTCACATTTATTACAGCAGTAGTAATAGTAGTCATAGTAGTGGTAGTCATAGTAGCAGTAGTTGCAGTAGTAGTAGTTGTAGTAACTGTACTAGTAGTAGTAGTAGTAATTACCATAATAGGAATGGGCCTTATAAGATTATATAGTATCTAAAATTCCTTCTCTTCACAGCATGTATTACAGCAGTAGCAGTAGTAATAGTAGTAGTAGTCATAGTAGCAGTAGTTGCAGTAGTAGTAGTAGTCACTATACTTAACTAATATTATTTTCATCATCATCATTTCTTTTCATCATCTTTTGCTTTTTACTGCAAACATAAAGCATCATTTTAAAGGCATTTTCATTTTCTTCCCTCTTTCTTTTCCTTTCTCTTTTCCTTTTTTTAAAATAATTTGCTCTTTTCTAGTATCAGATTATTTAAGTAAGCGATAAAACTTTTACCCAATGAACTCTGAAACCCGTATGCATCTCCAGATATCTCCGCAGCATGCTAATATCTCTAGGCCTATTCACACGCGTTCGCTCGCTGCCAATGCGAACGCTCGCAGCGCCAACTCATGCAGTGGTCCAGTATGGGCACTCGTCGGTCAATGGAAAAGGAAAACAGATTGTTGGACTAGTGTCTGGACAAACAGTTTGCTAATTATAGAGACAAAAATACACCATTTTGTTTATTATAATTAAGTGAGTTATTCTTGCATAAAAATGTGGATGATGATGTTGTGCGCGTTTCAGGTCCGTCAGGCAAAAGAAAGCCACGGGGAGAACATGCAAAAAGTGATCACGCTGACAGGGAATTGAACCGAAGACCTTTTGCCGTTGCCACCAGTGAGGTCTCAGAGGTGTCAAAGGTTTAATTAAGTCTGAATTAGGACCAAAACAAGACTGAGATAAAACACAACTAGGACTAAAGTGGGATAAAGGCGAGGTAAAGAGGGAAGAGAGAGGGGGAAGAGAGGATAGGAGAGGTAGAGAGGAAGAGGGAGGTAAAGAGAGGGATGAAAGAGAGGAGGAAGAGAGGGGAGGTAAAGATGACGAGAAAGAGGGAAGAGAGAGAACAGTAGAAGTAGAGAGGGGGGAGAGAGGATAGCAGAGGTAGAGAGGAAGAGGAGAGGTAAAAAGGAAGAGAGAGGGGGAAGAGAGAGGATAGTAGAAGAAGAGAAAGAGAGGATGAGACAGGGGAAGAAAGAAGCCAGTATAGGTAGAAGAAGATTAAGTAAAGAAAGGAGGGATAGAGGGGGAAGAGAGAGAGACAGGTGAGGTAGAGGGGAAGAGAGAAACACAAGGTAGAGCAGGAGAGAGAGATAAGACATAGGAGAAGAGAGAGACACAAAAAAGAGGGGAAGTGAGACAGAGAGAAGGTAGAGGTGAAGAGAGAGAGGAGAGGTATGGGGAAAAGAGAGACACAAAGTAAAAGGGAAGAGAGGGAGGAGAGGTAAAGGGGAAGAGAGAGGGACAAGGTGGAGAGGAGGAGAGAGAGACAAGGTAAAAGGGAAGAGAGAGACAGAAGATAGAGAGGAAGAGAGAGACACAAGGTAAAGGGGAAGAGAGACAGACAAGGTAAAGGGGAAGAGAGAGACACAAGGCAGAGGAGAAGAGAGAGAGAGAGGGTAGAGGAGAAGAGAGAGAAAAAGACAAGGTAGAGGGAAGAGAGAAGAAAAAGAGGAGATAGAGAGAGAACAAGAGAAGAGAGAGACAGGTAGAAGGAGAGAGACAAGAGAGAGAGAGACACAAGGTAGAGGAGAAGAGAGAGAGACAGGTAGAGGAGAAGAGAGAGAGACACATGGTAGAGGGGAAGAGAGAGAGGAGAAGTAGAGGGGAGAGAGACACAAGATAGAGGGGAAGAGAGAGACACAAGCAGAGGAGAAGAGAGAGAGACAAGGTAGAGGGGAAGAGACACAAGATAGAGGGAAAGAGAGACACAAGGTTGAGAGGAAGAGAAAAAGACAAGTTAGAGAGGCAGAGAGAGAAAAACACCAGGTAGAGAGAGAGAAGAGAGAGGAAGGAGATAGAGAGGTAAGAGAGAGAAGAGAGAAGAGGAAGAGTAGAAGAGGCAGAGGAAAGAGAGAGAAGAGATAGAGGAGAGGAGAAAGAGGTAGAGGAAGAGAGAGAGTAGAGAGAGAGGGTAGAGGAGAGAGAGAGAGAGGAAGAGAGAGGAGTAGTAGAGGGTAGAGAGGGGAAAGAGCGAGAGAGAGAGAGGAGGAGAGAGAGAGAGAAGAGAGGTAGAGCGGAAGATTGAGGGCAGGAGAGAGTGGAGTAGAGGCAGAGAGGGTAACAGAGAGACGAGAGAAAAAGAGAGGATAGTAAAGGTAGAGAGAAAGAACAAACAGAGTTATGGGGAAAAAAAGTGAGAAAAGAGAGAGAAGAAGCAGAGAAGAAGAGAGAGAACCGATCTGATCCATAACTCGGCGTGATAATGTCAACTGTTTGTCTCCACGTCCTTCACGTCTTCAAACTGTCAGACCCGTCCACCGGTCTGAAGGCTGACGGTGCGATTCCAGCTCCCGCACATGAATACTGTTGTTGTGCCCCTGAGCAAGACACTTAACCCACCTCGACCCCAGTGATCGCGTACTCTCTGTGTAGAAAAGAAAATTCCCAGTAAATGAACAATATCTCCACGGCGACGAGAAGAAAAGCCACACGTCGCGCCTTTACCCCAAACCTGTCCGTAAACACCTCCCCTCCTCGCGCGGCAAATATCCTTTTTTTTTTTTTTTTTTTTTTTTTTTGGTCTCCTCGACGCCGGATCGCTTGTCATCTCATCACATTCCGCACGTCTTTCTCTCTTTGACACGACCTGATTTTTTATGCGTTTCGCCAATTTTCCAATCGCCGCCGCCGAATACACTCCGGTCAATTTGCGCGTCCGGTAATAAATGCGTGTCCGGATTCACAGGAGCCGCCTCGGTTAGATTAGACGCAGTGGGGAGCTGGCAAATTGACAGAATCGCCGGGTTTGAATCTAATCTGGACAATTCTCGATCCCCCCCCTCCGTCTCCCCCCCGCCCCGGTATTCTGCGCTCCCCTCTCCCGTCGCACGCTGGGGCCGGATGTGTTCGGGCGAAGATGTTTTTTTTATTATGATATTTTCCGTTCACCTCCGCCGTCTTTTGCCCTACTTTTCGACTCGGCGTGTGTGCTTTTACAGAGCTTACAAATGGTGCCAATTTAACACTAAAACAGAGTTAACATCTTTGTATTCAAGAGTTCAGATTTGTGATTTTGGTAAAGAGGATCATTTTACTTCCTGATTGGATACGGGTCATTGATATGTCATATGTAGAGGTATGTTACCTAGCAACCATAATGTTTACAAGGGACAAAGCGAGTCTAAATTATACAACAGTTTTGATTTGATGATATTTTGATTGTAACTGTAGTAATAGTACAGTAGTAGTAGTAGCAGCAATTATAGTAGTAGTAGTAGTAGTAGTAGTAGCAGTTGCAGCAGCAGCAGTAGTTGTAGTGATAGTAATAGTAGTAGCAGTAGCAGTAATAGTAATAGTAGTAGCAGAAGTACAGTATAAAACTAGTTGTAGTAGTAGTAGTAGTAGTAGTAACCATAATAGGAATGGGTCTAATATGATTAAAGTAGTTCAAATCCCTTCTCTTCACAGCATTTAGTACAGCAGTAGCAGTAGTAATGGTAGTAGTAGACACAGTAGAAGTAGTATTAGTACTAGTATTAGTATTAGTAGTAGTACTAGTTACCATAATAAAAATGAGTCTTATAAGATAGCTGAAATACCTTCTCTTCACAGCATTTAGTACAGCAGTAGTAATAGTAGTCATAGTAGTGGTAGTCATAGTAGCAGTAGTTGCAGTAGTAGTAGTTGTAGTAACTGTACTAGTAGTA